TCATCCTCCAAAAACGGACAAACTGAGATATTCCCAGATCTGACAAGCGCAGAGGGAGTTCTTCACTAGTGCTTCTGCCCCACAAGAAATGCTAACGGATAACCTTCTAGACGTCACAAAAGAGCACCAGACAGTAATCTGAAACCACACACAGGAGTGATAAACACTAATAAAGGTTACTACAAAGGTAAATATAAAAGCCAGTATTGCTCTATTTTTACTCTGAATGTTTTCTTATCTAAAAGTCAAACACATCAAGCAATGATTATAAATCTACATCAATGGGTGCATGGAATCGATGTAAACTGTGACAATAACATAAAGTAGTTACAGAACTGCATGGCACAGAGCTTTAAACACTACTGAAGCTTAAGCTGATGTTAATTCAAACTAGATTGCATAAATTTACTACATTAATTGTAATGTACACAGTAAGCACTAAGAAAATAACTTTCAAATACACAGAATGGGAAATGAGAAGGGAGTCAAAATGGCATGCTAGAAATAAACAATTAAGCACAAAAGAAAGCACTGACAGAGGAGTATGGAACAAAAAAGAAGTAAGATGCACATATAACAAAGAACAGAATGGTAATAGGCCTTCTTTTTTCACTATTTACTTTAAATATAAACAGATTAAATGCTCCACTTAAAAGACAAAGACTGGAAGAATGGATTTAAAAAGAACATAATCCATTTATTTATTTTTTAAAAACATTAATTTATTTTTGAATGTTATGTTTGTTTGTTTGTTGTTCGTGAGCCACGTGATCACGACCTGAACTAAAGTTGATCCATTTAAATGCTGTCTATAAGAGATTCACCTTAGATCTAAAGGCACAAAGGAGTTAAAAGCGAAAGGATAGAAAAATATATTCCATTCAGCTATAAGCCAAAAGAGTTTCTAGGGGTGGTTGCTTATACTGACACCAGGTCCTAAGTCAAAATGTTATTAGAAACAAAAGAACATTCTATATTGATAAAAGGGTCAATCAAGAAGACATAACAATTATAAAACTATACACACCTAACAAGAGAGCCCTAAAATAAGTGAAGCAAATACTGACAGAATAGCAGCAACAAACAGTTGAAGACTTCAACACCTCACTTTCAATAATGGATACAACATCTAGACACATGATCAGTAAATAACAGAAGACTTGAACAACATTATATCCCAAAACAACAGAATATCCTTAGACACATTCCTAGAATACTCTTAGATACTCGTAGAGATATATCCCCAGAGATATGTGGAAATGCAAACACAACATACCAAAACTTACGGGACTCAAGAAAAGCAGCGCTCAGAGAGAAATTTGCACCTATAGATACCTATGTAAAGGAGATCTCAAGTCACTAACCTAATTTTACATGTTAAGAAGCTAAGAAACTAACCATACACTAGCAGAGGAAGGAAATAATAAAGATCGGACCAGAAATAAATGAAATTGAAAGTAAAAAAAGAGAGTGAGAGAGAAAATCAGTGAAAACAAACATTGGCTCTTTGAAAAGATCAACAAAATTGGCAAACCTTTAGCTGGACCAATACAAGAATGCAAACTACTAAAATACAAAATGAAAGTGGGTACCTTACTACTGACTTAACAGAAATGTAAAAAGGGTCTAAGAGAATACCACAAACAGCTGTGTGCCAACCAACTAAACAACCTACAGGAAAGGGACAAATTTCTAAAAACACTCAAACTACCAAACCCAACACACGAAATCGAAAAATCTGAACAGACCTATAACAAATAAGTAGATTGCATCAGAAATCAAATTTCTTTTCCAACAAAGAAAAGCTCTGGACCAGATGGATTCAATGATGAATTCTACCAAACATTTAGAGAATAACATCAATCCTCCTCACACTCTTCCAAAAAATAGAAAAAGAGGAAACACTTATTTAACTCATTCTATGGGGTTAGCTCCACTCTGATACCATAGCCAAAGACATCACAGGAAAATAAAATCATACACCAACATCCCTTACAAATATATATGTAGGGGAGCCTGGGTGGCTTAGTCGGTTAAGCGTCCGACTTTCGCTTAGGTCATGATCTCGCAGTTCGTGTGTTCAAGCCCCGTGTCGGGCTCTGTGCTGACTGCCAGCTCAGAGCCTGGAGCCTATTTCAGAGTCTGTGTCTCCCTCTCTCTCTGACCCTCCCCTGCTCACGCTGTCTCTCTCTCTCTCCTAGAAATAAATAAAAATATTTTTAAAAAAAGAAAAAAATATATATATGTAGAAATCTCCACAATAGGTAAATCTATACACAAAAGGTAAATTAGTGTTGGTGCAGGGCTGGGGGGAGCAGGGTGTGGAGGATGATGACTGAAAGGCACCGGGTTCCTATGTCATCATCTCAAGTGATGACAATGTCCTAAAACTGCCCGTGGGGGTGGCTGCACAGATCTGTGAATATACTAGAAACTACCCTATACTAGAAACTATACTTTGATGGGTGAATTGTGTGGCATATGAATAAATTTGTTATAAAAATATTTGATTAACCCAAAAGAAGGCAGAAAAGGAGGAAAAGGAGGGGAAAAAAACAGAAGCAACTAATATAAAACTAATAGCAAGAAGATGGACTAAAAGCTAAGATATCAGGGGCGCCTTGGTGGCTTAGTCGGTTAAGCGTCCGACTTTCGCTTAGGTCATGATCTCACGGTTCGTGGGTTCAAGCCCCGCGTCGGGCTCTGTGCTGACTGCCAGCTCGGAGCCTGGAGCCTGTTTCGGTCTGTGACTCCCTCTCTCTCTGACCCTCCCCTGCTCACGCTGTCTCTCTCTCTCCTAGAAATAAATAAAAATATTAAAAAAAAAAAAAAAAAGCTAAGATATCATTAATCACATTAAATGTAACTAATCCAAACATCCCAGTTAAAAGGCGAAGATTGTCAGACTGGATTTGCTGTCTACAAGAATCTACAAGGAGGGGTACCGCTTAAAGGAGGTACCCTTCAAAAAACGGTTTAAAAACTTAAAAAGATGGAAAAGATATCCTGTATTAACACTAGTCAAAATAAAGCCAGAGCAGTTAAATTAATATCAATGAATGTAGATTTCAGAGCAAAGAATATTAACAAGATAGAGAGGGCTATTTCATAATCATGAAGGGTATATTCTTCATAACAACCCTAAATGTTAACAGAGTTTCAAAATATTGGAAGCCCACTGACAAAACTAGAGAGGAATAGACAAATGTACAGAGTTGGAGATTTCAGTGCCCCCTCTCAATAACAGACAGAACAAGCGGACCCCAAATCTGCAAGAACACAGTAGATTTAAACAAGACTGTCTTCAGTGTGACCTGATTCACATATATGGAGGACTCCATCCAATTGGCTACACAACCTTCTCACGTACACGTGGAACATTTGCCAAGATAGGCCACATCCTGGGCCATAAAATAAATCTTACTAAATTTAAAGGATTCAAGTCAAAGTGTGTTCTCATTAGAAATCAATAATAAAGGATATCTGGAAAATCCCTCAATTATTTGGAAACTAACATACTTCTAAATAAGCCATGAGTCAAATTAGTCAGAAGAAAATTAGAAGGTGTTTTAAAACTGAATGAAAATGAAAAGAACATATCAAAATTCTGCTAAAGCAATAGTAAGAGAAGAATTTCTATTACTAAATGCCTATATTAGAAAAGAAGAAAGGTCTCAAATCAGTGACCTCAGCTTCCACCTTAAGAATTAGAAAATGAACAAATTAAATCCAAAGTAAGCAGAAGAAAGAACATAATACAGATCAGAGTAGAAATAGAACAGACAAAACAGAGAAAAGAACTATATAGAAAATCTATGAAACCAAATGCCGGTTCTCTAAGATTAAAAAAAACATTAGACAAAAATTAGGGACGCCTGGGTGGCTTAGTCGGTTGAGTGTCCGACTTTCACTTAGGTCATGATCTCACAGTTCGTGGGTTCGAGCCCCGCGTCGGGCTCTGTGCTGACAGCTCAGAGCCTGGAGCCTGTTTCAGTCTGTGACTCCCTCTCTCTCTGACCCTCCCCTGCTCACGCTGTATCTCTCTCTCCTGGAAATAAATAAAACATTAAAAAAATTAAAAAAAAATAAATCTAATGTCACAAGAATTTTAAGAAGTAGAGGTGGCCAATAGTATGATCAATCACACTAGAAATAAAAACACCCAACAGTTTTTTGTTAGGCTAAATAAGTAAAGTATGCATGGTGGCCTCATACAAATCCTTACCGAAGAATAAGAGATTTAGGTGTACTGGTTTCTTAACAGTGATAAACTCTAGGGGTGCCTGGATGGCTCAGTCGGTCGAAAAACCAACTCCATTTCGGCTCAGGTCATGATCCTAGGGTGGTGAGATCGAGCCCTGTATCAGGCTCTGTGCTGAGCATGGAGCCTGCCTGGGATTCTCTCTTCTCTCTCTCTCTCTCTCTCTCTCTCTCTCTGCTTCTCCCCTGCTTGCAGCGCTCTCTCTCTGCCCCGCCCCTGTATGCACTCTTTTGCAAAAAAAAAAAAAGTGAAAAACTTCATTTTTTAGGATACTTCTCACCAGACTTTGAACACGAAACTATTATGAAAGTTCATAAAATGAAACTTTACTTAGTAGAGTGGAGTTAGGAGGCGGGCAGGGGGAGCTGTTGTGCCCAGCACTAGTGATCACAGAAGAGGTAAACCCAGCGACAGAAAGGTTTCCTGCTGCTCCAGCAACACTCCAGCCAATGAGAAGCCACTATACTCCTAGCAACCAGTTAAGTCCAATGGACTTTGTGTTTACAACAGTCCCGCCCAACCGCCTCCTCTATAAAAGCCTCCCCACCTTACTCTCCAGACTTGCCTACAGTTCTGGTGAGGCTTACCTGTCCCAAGTTGGGATTCTTTGCTATTCCCAAATAACCCCACCTTCACTGGTAAAATAGCTGGCAGTGTTATTTTTAAGGTTAACAGTGCTTAAGTACACAAATCATAAGAAACCATTCTTTACAGTTGGACAATAAACAGGGTCACTAACCTCCTCGGGGTGAAGGAGAATCATGCCCCCCAATGACCACGAAGATACCAGAATCTTCCAGCTTCACTTTCCATTTCTCAATGATAGTCATAGACTTGTCCTGAAAGCATAAGGACATTAGCAGTTCAGGAAACTTCTCTCAAAACAGATGTGACTCATGCTAGGGCTAAATCACCAACAGGAAGTTCATAAATACCTTACTAGCATCATTAAAAACCGAGAGCTCCATGGAGCCTTCAAAGTCCTGTTGCAAAACAGACTTCAAGCACTCGTCCAGCCACGGTTCAGCATTGTAGACCGGGAGGATAATAGACTGCAATTCAAAAGAAGTGGGTTAACAAATAGAAGTGTGAGAGGCCTAACAATGCAGTTTCCTCCATTCCAATTTACTTTCCTGTTTCCAGTGAGCATTAGCACAATGCTCATTTCCAAAGGACGAGGCCTGACATGCAGAATAACTGAGAATGAGGCTTCCAAAGAATGCGCCACCAAAACAGGAGGTGCCTGTTCCTTCTCTCTAAGCTCTAATGTTCCTTTGCTCCATAAGATTTACTATGTCTTAGATTTCCCTGACTTGCCTTCAGGATGCTTTTGAAAAGGAAACAAAAATATGAAAGCCATCAAAATTTTTCACAGTTCAATGGCAAATACATGTGTTTTCCAATCACTGAACAGAAACATCATTTCAGTTGAAACATGGATCTGTGTATCTTCTAATTCACTCATGAAAATATTCTACTGTTCCTTTTCTTGGTGGAATAAGCATTTTCCATGAACCATGGTAGAGAAATTCCAGCAAAGAAACTCATTTTAAGTCCTTGGACACATGCCTTAATGAAGTATGGGAGAGAGTACTGGGAAAATGGGGGTGAACTCCATCTACCTCGCTGTACTTAGTTTAGGACTAATTTGGTGCTGTCCTTCCCTCCTATAGCCCAAACAAAACAAAAATTTCTATGGTGTTTGGATTAAAGCCAGGGAAACCTGACTGCAACAAAACAACTGATTACAGGAATTGTCTTAATTTTGTACGTTACCACAGTAAGCAATATGAAATACCCAAAGACAGAAATTACAGTCTAACCTAACCCTTGAGTTTATACCCTAATGAGGAGTGGACAAATTCCTAAACAAGAAGACAGAACATTAGTCATCCAGGTGTGTGTGCCCAGTGCATATGCATACACATACACACACGCATGGGCACAAATACGCACAATTTTGAGTATTCAGTATCTACAGACAATATAGATAGGATTGTAAAAATACTAAATCTGAATACGGTTTTGAAAAGCTCATAGACTGAAAACATAATTCAGTCAAGTTCTTTACTCTGAGGATCTGATTCAACAGTGATAACCCTTCCTGAATTTGTTATTCAAAAGAGTGGTTACCTAGTTTACTCACTGATGTACTTTTTTTTTTTTTTTTTTTAAGCATTTATTATTTTGAGAGAGTGAGACCGAGCACGGCAGTGGCAGAGAGAGAGGGAGACAGTCTGAAACCGGCTCCAGGCTCCGAGCTGTCCGCGCAGAGCCCGACGCGGGGCTGGACTCACGAACCGGATCTGCCCTGAGCCCAAGGCGGAGGCTGAAGCAACGGGGCCACCCAGGCGCCCCTATATTTACTTTTAAAGGAAACATTATTCTTCAAAGGAAAAGAAAAAAGAACGAATATTTTTAATGTTCTCAAGATCTACGGTAGAAAACAACGCGGACTTCCGTGAAATTTCTGTAGGCACGCTTCTGCGGGAGGCAGACGCCCGCTCCCATCGGAAAGCTCCCCGGAAGTGAGGACCCTCCGTAGGGGGCGTGGGGGGGAGGGGAGGGGGCGGGAGGAGGGGGGAGGAGGCCCCCACCGCCCGGGCACCTACCACGCGGGGCGCCCCGGCGCGGCCCCCGGGGGCCTGCATGCTCGCGTGCTCCTCCGGCCGCCCCGCCCCTGGAGCCGGAGGCTCCGCCCACGTTGGCCTACGGCGCGTGCGCGGGCGGCAGGCTCCAAACGCGCTCCCCACCTCCCCCGGCCCGCGGCCTCCGGCTGGCGTGGAAATCCGGCGGTCTCGCAGGGAGTGGAGAGGAGCGGCCTAGAGAGGCTGGAAGCACGAGCGGGTGAGCAGCGCCCCCGCGCGCCCGGGGCGGGGAAGGGGGAGGGCCCGTGGGGAGGGGGGTGGCTGGGGGAAGGGCGGGGGCGGGGGCAGGGGGCGGGGCCTTGCGGAGGAGGGGGGCGGGGGGAAGGGCGGGGGCGGGGGGCCGGCCCGGTGGAAGAGGTGGGCCTGTGGCGAGGGGAGGGGGCGGGGCCGTGGGGAGGAGGGGGCTGGGGGTGGCACGGGCCGACCTGGGGAGGGGCAGAGATAGAGCCCCTGTGGAGCGGGGAGCTGGGGGCGGGCGGGGCCCAGGGCCGGGGGCAGGCCCGGGGTGCGCCCGTGGGGAGGGCAGGGGCCGGGAAGGGGCGAGGCCGGCCGGGCGGGGCGGTGCTCCGCGCGGGTCCGGGAGGCTGGGGCCTCGTCCTCTGGGGCTCGTGCGGCTTTCGTGTCCCCCGTGCCCCCTCCACCCTGTCCCTGGGCACCCAGCCCTGCTCCCTCACCTGCGGGAATTAACCAGCCATGAAGTCTTCGGTGAAAATAAAATGTTATCAACATACTTTGTAGAGAAGGTGGAGTTTGTGAGAAATCACGCTGTACCGCTGGTTACAACCTGAAACCCAAACCGGATGGCCTTTAACATCACCTTTTTTTTTTTCTTTTTTTTAAAGAAAGGAAGCAGGTGACGACAAGTCATCTGACCGACCGCCAGGAGAGGCCTGGAGGGAGACGAGGGGCGGGGAAGGGGAGTGGGGGCGGGGCCCTGGGGCACGCCGGCGTCCCCCCGCCTTCGAGCTCCCCGGCTGCCTGGGCCTCTGCCCTAGAGACCCTTCCCACGTGAGTCTCCCTGCAGCGCGTGCAGCAGAGCCCCCGACACCTTCACCCCGCCGCTCAGCCCTGAGTGGCGGTGTCCCTCCAGCGGTGTGACCCCTGGAAGCTTGCGCCCCTCCAGGCGGGCCAGGTCCGTGAGGACCCACTGAGTTCTGCCTGAAGCTAGTGGGCCAGCGCCGGCACTCACTCACATGAGGGTGATCATCCCCCACGCGGGTCCCAACCATGTAAATTTATGACCGAGTTTATAGCTATCAATGCCCCAAACTAAGATTAAATGCAGATCATTCCACAAACTAACAAGTAAAACAAAGCCAAAATTATTCTTTAGATTTTTGTTAAGCCTCACTTTAAATGTAGTTTTTCCTTAACCTGTATGAGTATTTGCAAAGCCTGTTGTATGGGTTGAAACTCTTAGGTAAAATGGGTAAAAATGCAACCTTTTTTACAGTGGCATATTAGGAATAGGGTTATTTTAAATAATTTGATAGAACGTCTCAGAGTAGTGGGGCACCTGGGTGGTTCAGTACGCTCAGTGTCTGACTCTTGGTCTCAGGATCTGAGTTCAAGTTCTGTGCTGGGCTCCAGCTGGATGTGAATCCTACTTAAAAAAAGGTCTCCTGGTCGCTCCCAGAATACCCTCAGGCTTCAGAGCCACAACCTGTCATAAGCAATGGGAAGAAGAATAGGGGTCCACACGCGTGTCCTGCGACTCCATCCACATGGCATCAGAACTGGGCTTGCTTGCCCTGTCTTGCTTCCTGCGTATCTCTTGCTGCCTGAAATTTACTTTTCACTGCCTTTCCCCTAATAAAAATTTAGTTACAATCTGCTTTTTGTAAACATTCAGAAACTTCAGAACTTTGCAAACTTCGGAAATGCAGGGTTGAGGCTGGGTGAGGAGGGCCTGAGATGAACCCTGTCATGGGTGGGAAGATTCTCAACAGAGAGCAGGCTCTGGGGACTGTCCACTCTCCACACCAGAGGGACAGAGGGAGGACTTGGGGTGGATTGAAAAGATGAACAAAGTCACAGGGCACCTGAGGGGAAGCATCCCAAGCTCCTACAGCTTCTGGCTCCCCAGCTGACATTTTTCTCTTATTAGTTGCTGTTTGTTCAGACGGATTGGTGGACATGGGTTGTATTCAGAAGACTTGGTGCCAATTTCCAGGGCCTTCAAATATAGAAACTGCCCAACAGCCTCTCAGGATACTGATGTATGGGACAAATAAGTGGCGAGGCCTGGGTGCTGGGCCCCAGACTCAGGAGTCTGCCTGCAGTGTGTCAGGGGAGGGTGAGTTCAAGCTGCAACAACAGTCATTCCATCCCCCACAGCCCTGGCAGGATGAACCCCAACACTCTCCAGCTGGACCTGCCAGAACTGTGGACCTGCTGGGAGGCCGGGACCCACCGGGCACTGGGGAAGGAGTCCGGCTGCCCCTGGTGGCCAGGGCCCCTAGATAGGAAACGTGTTCTCCAGGGAGCAGCCGGCTGCCTGAATGTGTGGCCTGCACTGTTAACGGTGTTTCAAGGCTGCTTGGGACTTGTGTTGGTTTAACAGCTCATCAAGGGGTTGCAGCCCATACTTTTTAAACAAAGTAACCTACTAAACCATGGCCTGGTGTGGATAGGATCATGTCAGTTCTGTTTTCAGCAGGCTGACTTCCTGGAGTTGAGACCTGTTGGGATTCTATTGCCTCAGCAAGGACTCTGGCTCATTTTATCACCCCCTCCATCTGGTTGGCCACTGGGTACAGGGTCAGGGTGCTCCAGACCCCATCGCTGTCCCCCAAAGCTACAAGCAGGGGCTGGCCAGTGGATGATGTGAAATCTGGAACGGTACCCTGTGTGTGTGTAGGAATCTTCCCTTCTCCCCCAGCGGCTCTCAGCTCTCCCTTGGGGCGCTGCTCCCCCCCCACCCCAATTCAGCCATGCTCTCTGGGAGTGACCCCACCCTTACTGGGTAAGGGGGTGAAGGATCAGAGTGTACAAGGAGGATGAGGGGTAGAACTGGGCTGGACTCTGTTCTACAGATATGAAAATCATATCACCTGAAGGAGTTGTACAGCCCTATATGGTCCCACAGGGAAAATCAAGACCCCGCTCAGCACCTTACCCATAGAGCACACAATGCATATTTCCTGAGGAATAACTAATGGATTGAAGCCATTGTTGTACCAATCTGCATTGTTCTGAAATGGACCATGTTATCAGGAAGTCTGGAAAGAGAGGGAGAATCCTATTAACTAAACATTTTCTTTTTTTTTTTTTAATGTTTTATTTCTAGGAGGGAGAGAGAGAGAGAGAGAGCGTGAGCAGGGGAGGGTCAGAGAGAGAGGGAATCACAGACTCCGAAACAGGCTCCAGGCTCTGAGCTGGCAGTCAGCACAGAGCCCGACGCGGGGCTTGAACCCACGAACCGCGAGATCATGACCTAAGCGAAAGTCGGACGCTCAACCGACTAAGCCACCCAGGCGCCCCTTAACTAAACATTTTCTAATGCTAAGCAGTTTACAAATATTATCTCGTGAAGGCCTAGCGTACATGATTGACCTGAACTCGGAGTCTGGGCTCATTCACTGGACTGGCCGCAGGAAGCAATGAGGTTCCCATTAGAGGTTGCGTTCAGTTAACAGCTGAGCACACATCTGGAGTAGATTTGATGCAAGCATTTGAGTATCACATGGAGTGTTTGTCTTGGCTTGGGTGCCCATCCCCTTAGCCCAGGCTGAGTTGGGGACTTTGCAGTGAAGACTTTTGTTCTCCCAGGAGGCTGGGGCAGGAGAGTGGGGCAGGGAAGGAGAGGGAGCCAGGACCAGTGTGCTCTGTTGATGGGGTCCCCATTATGGGCAGCTGGAACTGGGACCCTGAACCTTCCCAGACCTCTGGAGAATTATTCACTGGAGCTCAAAGGAGAGAAGCCTCACCCTTGGTCCTGTCATCTGGGGTCACCCTTTGGGGCATTCACTCCCCTGCACTTGTGAGTGGTAATGCAGGATCCCACAGGTGTCCCCTGGGGGACAGCCAGGTGAGGCCTGCCCAGAACTGCGTGCAGTGGGCCTGGCTGCAGGCAGAGTTAGGGCCGGAGCAGAAGGGCTGATCAGGAGGCAGAGGAGGCTGACGCGAGACTGGAGCGGCGGCAGGAACCCTAAAACAGGGCCTCCGTCAGCGAGCACCTGTGGATGGTTCTGGAGTGATTTCAGCCATCTGCTCTCCAAGTTCTGTAACTCCCAGGTGGGGGGCAGGTGCGTGTGGGAGGTGTGTGCGCGGCACGGGTGTTAGTGCTTGAGCACCCTGAGACCAAGACTCAGGCAGCGTCCAGCAGAAGGCCAGTTACACATCCTCCTCCTCAGTTTTAATAGGAAAATGTCATTTGCATGAGAAAAGGCTTGGTTAAATTCATAGAACCTGGAGAGCGGGAAAGCCAGAGGCTTCAGGGTGACTTCAGCCCTTCGAGTGAGGCCTCACAAAAAGTGGCTAATGTCACTGACAAAGCTGGGGGGCTCCGGGGGGCACTGGCCAGGTTGTGAGCCAGGAGCCTCCCTCAGCCTGCTGCAGCACCTGTCCCCAGCAGCTCATGTAGGGGAGGGCTGCAGGGGACCTGCCACCCATTGCATCCTTTGCAGCCTGAACAAAGCCCAGGGCGCTATTGCAATGTTCTTTTATCCACGGCCATCCTGTCTCATGTGAGAGGCCATATTCACACTGTGGCCAGGCATGTGGATGATGCCAGTGGTTTGAGGGCCACACTGTGACTGTTTCTGGGCTGGGCTGCTTCCTGGACCAGTGGCCCTGGGCCCTGGACACAGTCTCACCCCCTGTGCCTGTGTGAGCACCCATTTCTCATTGCCTTGTTCTAGTGCACTTGGTGGGAGGTACAGTCCAGGCTGTAGCCTTAGGCTCAGAGGACCCAACAGGGCCAATGCCTGCCCTGCACACCTGCCATGCCTCCTGAGTGTCCCACACCGGCATCCAGCCCCGGGAGTCTCCCAGGCCCGGCAGCTGCACACCCTCCCCCCGCACGCTGACCCACTGTCTGCAGATCATGCCACCTGCACAGGCTCCGC